TCGGACAAATCGAAATCTCCGGTGGTTTTCCGGTAACAATGTTAGATCGGCAAATACCGTACACATCAGAAAGCGATCTCACATATAATTTCAACCAATCACCAGCGATTTCAAAACGCCAGAGAGATGATTCAAACGTTATAATCGAATCGCAGAAACGCAGATCAATCGCGTTTGAAACGTCTTTAATCGACGCGGAATTCGTTTCGCAGATGCAACAACAACAACAATCGGAAATCGATCGTTTCGTGACACACCAAACGGAAACGCTGAGATTCGAATTAGAAGCGAGACAGAGAACGCAAACGCGGATGTTAGCGTCTGCGTTTCAAACCGCGATTTTAAAAAAGCTTAAAGCGAAAGAGGAAGAGATCTCACGAATGGGGAAATTAAACTGGGTTTTACAAGAACGAGTGAAGAATCTATACTTAGAGAATCAAATCTGGCGTGATCTAGCTCAATCCAATGAAGCTACTGCTAATAATCTAAGATCGAATCTAGAACAAGTTTTAGCTCAGGTCGATGATTTTCCGGTGACCGGAGAAGTTTTACGAAATTCGGTGGAAGACGATGCGGAATCGAGCTGTGGAAGTTGCGACGGCGGAGACGGTGGTGATGTGACGGTGGTTAACGGTGGATGTAGAAGGTGCGGTGAGAGAACGGCGAGTGTGTTGGTTTTGCCTTGTCGTCATTTGTGTTTGTGTACGGTTTGTGGATCGGCTTTGGTACAGGCGTGTCCTGTATGTGATATGGTTATGAATGCTAGTGTACATGTTAACATGTCATCATGATCATATTGTTTAAAAAAAAATTAATTTATTTTTGTTTTAGTGGAGGATTTAGGAAAAGTAGGGGGAAAAAAATTGGAGTATGATTCTTGTAAATTTTTTTATTTGGGATGTTAAATTATGAAATTTTTATTCATTTTGTTTGTAGTTTTTGTATAATTCTTGATTTTTGGTAATTAGTCCAATTTGTTCTTCTTCACTCGTATTACATAAAGTTTTTTTTTTTTTGGGTAACAAATGAAGTTTCGAACCCGAGTCATCTATTTAGAATCGCGTAGTGACATACAAATATTATTTTTTTTTTGAACAAAAATGACATACAATTTTGCATAATTCAGATTGATTGGTAATGGTAAAAGTTTAGAACTTTGGAATATATATATATACACGACGACTAAGTTAATATTTTAGAAGATTATAAACTAGAACCAATGAAACTGTTGGTGCGTCCAATATGAAACAAATGATGTTATGAACAATGTTAGAATTTTGTAGTGCACACATTCTTTTCTAAGTTAATATATAAATTATAACAATTTTTTATTAAGTTTTCGATCGATCGCATCAAACTCACATCTTTGTGTTAAAAGGATGATAGAGTTCGCCGAATGTCCATGCATGCATGCATGTAGTACACTAATTTATCCTTCAATGTCATGTTGATTAATGGCTTGTTAACTCATGATTTTTTTCACAATCGGAAAAAGTGTTAAGTGTTAACTCATGACTTATTATAGCTCGTTCATATAATTGCTTGCCAACTCAATTAAATCCAATCATCTAAATTCTTTAAAAATATGTCTAAAAATATAGTTTGAATTCATAAAAATCGGAGGAGACTAACCCCACTCCAAAATGAGATTTGGAGTAAAATTCTATCTAACCTCACTCCAAATTCCAATTCAAAATGGAATAATTCACTTTTTACTCTATATTTGGAGTAATCTCATTTCTTACTCTATTTTGGAGCTAAGCTTTTTTTATTTACAAAAAAATCCTTTAACTTTTAAATGATTATATTTTATACTTAGAATATATTATAAAAAATTGTTTTGGTTGTCAACGTGATTAATGTATTATGTCAACGTGATTAATATAGTTTAAATACAGCTATTTAA